GGGCCGAGGTGTGAAACGCCCAGCGCCGGGAATCGGATAAAGCCCGTCCGCCCAGCGAGGAGCCAGGTAATGACCGCGTACAGCCCCGCACCTGCCGGAGCCGGGGCCAGGCCCCGGCCGCACGGTTCCTCCCTCGGCCCCGCCGAGGTGCCGTGTTTCCTTTGCGGTGCAGCATTCGCCGGGGAAGGGGTGCGGATGGCACTGCAGTGAGGTGCACTAGAGGCTGCGGAAATAGATGGTGGGCAGGGTAGGACAGGCACACTGAACGGATGCTCTGCAATTCATCTGGGTGTTTTTCTGTACCTGCCACAGCGATTGTGTCGTGATTTTAAACCATGATGGCAGCTGCCGTACCACGGTAACCTCTGGCACCATTTAGTCACCCCAGAGGAACAGAGAATCCTGAAAATCAAAGGCAATGGAAAGAATCCATGTATGTACAGATGGTGTCACCCTTTTTAGCTCCTATATTAAAGAAAACTGAACCTGTTCAGGAACTGTTTTATATTGTTCACAGTAAAACTATGTTATACTCTTCAATACATAGAATTTGTTCTTTCATACAGATTGATTAAATGTTATCAACACACAATGCTACTACTAGAGATTTCCATGCACAACATGGAAAAAACCCAACTAAAACCCAACTGAACTTTAAAATAAAACGGCAGAACTATTTTCGGCCATCCAGTGTCAAGAAATTCAGGGTGAAGATCAGATATTGTATCACCTTGTTGTACTCCTTAGGTATTGCAGAAATTCTGGAGGTTTATTTTAACCCCAGGCCAGCCTGCTGCTGCAGTCTGGCTGATCTACACAGCAATCCACCGGCACCAGCAGCTATAAACTGGGTAGTTAAGCCAAGTTTGTATCTGTGTTTGGCACAAAGCAGCCGATGGATATTGCTGTAACCTTGTCACAGAAATGCTGCAGTACCCAGGCAAAAAAGAGTAAGCAAAGAATATCGAGTGTTCACTTGTGAATTAACTAAATCTCGACTTTTCACTAAAACAGTGGCATGGTAAAATCACAATTGGTCAGGGTGTTGGGGTGTTGGGAGGGGGAGAAACTTATTTTACTTGCTTCATAAGACCTGAATTAAAGAGTTCATTTTCTTAGAGTCGATGGCATCGTAACAGCCTACAGAAGCAGTACAGTATGCACAGCAGCATGGATTGTTTCCAGTGCTTGTGGCATCTTCACCACTTGCAGTAAAACCCAGAATCAAAAAGGAAAAATAACTTTCCTAACGAAAACAATCATTCTGGAAGTTAAATTATCTCGAATAATATTTTAGATCAGGATTAAGCTTAGAACAGGCACCTCACTTCTGAATTGTCACTTCTAACATGGGTGACAGCATCTACTCGGAGACCTTGCCATTTTTTTCCTTCCTGGGATAGGTCGATCTTGAATAATCCGTCCTTAGGGGACAAGGAAAAGTGGTAGATCTGGATAAAGATGCTACTCGTATTCCAATGAAGGGAGATACTTGCCCTCAAATGACAATCTGAAATCTAGGCAATGACTACATCAGGCAAGAATCTAATTACAGCAGGTGTGGGCTCCCTCTCCATAAAGCTGTTCTTAGAAACCAAAAATACCTTAAAACCAAAGAACCTTACTCCAACCTGGAAGCCTGCCTGCCTGACTGACTGCAGTTCCTCTCGTTCCCGTGAAGTTAAGCCCATTCACTCAAGAGGGGAATAAGGTCCATTTGTGTGGGAACTCCTCTACAGCTACGGTGTTAGGGAGGAAGCTGCGGCCAGCTGCTGCCCACCAAACACAGCAGAAGGGCTTCCCGCCTACACGGCACATAAAATACCATCACTGTTCGTTTTAACAAATGTAGGTGACTCTCACAAAATTCCAACTAGATATTTTTATGTATCGATTTTATTTTCATTACTTGAATATTTTTTTAATACTGTTATCTTCTTTATATCCCCTGTAGCTAGAAGAAGCTACAAGTAAAAGAATGGACAAAGATGCAGAAGCACTAAAGGCAGCGAGAGCAGAACTCTGCGAGGCGAGACGGCAGTGGCACCGCATGCAGATCGAAATCGAATCTCTCCACGCGGTGGTAAGCACCATCAAATCAAACCTGAAATCGCCTGGAAAAAATTAACCTTTTCCTTGCTGACAGCCACTCCACAGCTCAGTTCATGCAACAATGCCATCCACTATACGGCAGAAACACAACACGGGCAGAAACGCACAGCTTTGCGGTGGACTTTCAGCCCGTCCCACAGAGCACTGACGAACAAGCCAGAACCCAGTCGATTGCTCACACTTGAGAGTGTCGCGTTTTGACTCAGGATCTGCCGTTCAACACACGCGTGTGTTCACGTTTTCACATCTGCCAAACACACGCGTGCACGGTGCTCCCCATCAGGCTCCCGGCCGCTCTGCCTCACCAATTCATGTGAGGCTGATAACTTTTTTTGAATGTGTGGACCAAATTTATCAACTCGTTCATGAAAACATGTGCCAGCAATTTACTGAATTCAGTAACATAGATAAGCTACCAGAGCACACAGACCACATACAGTACTGAGCCGGGTATCCTTTTCACCACACATAAAATCAGAGATCTGTAAAGTCCACAGTACTGGACTGCTGGTACCACAGAAGACTACAGTTTCTTATCCCATCTTAAGTAATTACAGATTTTACCGGAAAAATTCTCAGCAAAAGTACTTGAAAGCTTTAATCCTGTTCCTAAAGAATATTCTTAAAAGAACTGATGTAAAAATACAGGGATTGTCAATGAAACGTACGTGTAACATCTTTACACATATACTTTCCAAATCTTACAGTGAGTTACATTTCACAGGAAAAGGGTTTGGAACGTTCGTTGCGCGCCACAGAGCAGCAGTACCACGTGCAACTACAACATTTAGAAGCTGAGATTGGATGCTTAGAGAAAGAGCTACTGGAAGTGAGACGAGGTATTGAGAAACAGCTTCAAGAGCATGAAATTCTCCTGAACACCAGGATGAAACTGGAGGAGGAGATAGCAACATATCGCAGTCTGCTTGAGCAAGAAGAGAACAGGTATTTGTTGTTTAGAGAAAAAGTACTTAAATTTGTCCTTTGTTTCAGAACTTCCCATTGAAATAATCATCAGAAATGTAAATACATGAACCAATCATTAAAAAATTACAGTATAAACTCCTTAGCAATGGTTTCATTATAACTCCCCTGGTTGCACACTTTCCGGAGCTCAGGGCATCTCCCCGATGCACGGCCAGTAACCGCGCACACCGCACCCTCCCTCAAGGCCCTGCGTGCTGGCCCAGCCTTCCCATCCCATCAGCTGCCTGCCATGGCCTCTGCGGGTCTCAGACCACGGGTGAAGCGAGTGCCCACGCGTGAAGTTCTGGGAGAGGAGCTCACGGCTCGGCACGTGCCAGAAGCCATTTGCAGGCGGGGTTCGCTACCCGCGCTCACTCGGGGTAGGCCGCTGTCTAAGGATGGGCCTTCCAGGGACTCTCCACCTCCGCCCCGTCCCCGGTGCACAAGCACCAGCCTTTTGAAAGGCAGACTCGAGAGAGGCAGCTACACAAACGTGACCAAGGAGGGGGAGAAGGAAAAGGCAAACTATTCACCGCGCGCTCAGCGCGGGCGCCTCCACCAAACCAGGCAGGCGGTTCCGAGTGCTCTCGGTGGAGCGTGGCCTCCCTCAGTCCTTTCTCCAGAAAACACAGAGCTTCAGTCCAGGAACTTCATGCGTTTGCGCACGAGGATTCCAGGCAGGGGATTCAGTTTCAGATTTAATGCTTCTAACTCTGCAAATACACACAATTCAGTACTCATAAAATTAAATAACTCTTCCTAGCACACCACAAACTGACCAAGAACTGTCTGCAAATAACGAAGAAATTGCACAGATATTTTCAGTAACTTTCTTCAGTTCTGTACTCAGAATAAGAAATCCTAACAAATAGTTACTACAATCAAATGGAACTTCTCATGGTTCTCCTATTTTTAAATTTTTCATAGCTGTTCATAAGACAAGCTTTGGACTGAAGCAATTCAGTATTACTAGATGACTGTAATAATTTTTCCTTTTGCAGGTTTCGCTGCTCTGGACCTGACGGGAAGGAGGACAGAAAGCCCACCGCCAGCAAGGTTGCCTTTACGCTGCCTGCAAGTGAGTTTTCAGACACTTTCCCCTTAGGGGCTTACGGCCCTAAAGGAAGTTCCTAACTACCGACAAGATATTACAAAAGGATCTTCTTCCAGTGCAGGAGGAGGGAAAATACCTGTAGGTCCCGTGTGCTGAGCTTACTCTCCTGCCTGCCTAGTAGATCTGCATTTGCTTTTACAGATGGTGTAAAGAAGCCTGAAACTGAGAAGGTGGAACTGATGACAAAACAAGCGATCTTAGATGGAAATATGATGAAGGAAAGCGCTGAAGCTCATGGCACTGTACAGTAAGATAAACAGGAATTTAACAAAATAACTATTGAAAGTAAAGGGTGGGCATTACGTTTCATTAGCTTTGAGTTTTCCTTTATTTAGTATTTGTTATATCATGCCCATACAGCCAAGAAGCTCCAGAATAACAGCGGTAGTTCCTGAAGGTGGATTGAATGGCATGTTTTAACAACGCATTAAATTTTAAAGTTCTTTTTATTAGCATTTGCTTTATAAACTAACAATATCACGATGATTCTTCTGATTCGTAATTTCTATTTCTGTTAAGAATGAAACTATGAATAATTCATCTAGCTAAGACTGAAAGCAGAAGAGCCCATACCATGTTTGCACGGTCCCTCTGGGGCATATTTATGCACCCAAATTCAGGCTTGGCTGCTCGAACTTGCTATTTGGAAACTCCTACGTTTCACCAATTACCAAACAAGGAACGGACAGCTTGGCTCCTAAGTGGACATGTGAAAGTCTGTTACTGTCTATTATTCACCTTAAATTACTTTAATAGTATTGGATTGCCTCATTCTTTTTCTTCTGCCGCTCTTTAAGCTCTCTTGTAGACAAGCACTTAACGTTGCATTTAAAACCAACCGTAGCGCACAGTGTCACTGACACTTAACTGTAAGCAGCTGCTGGAAACACGTAGAAATTCAGGTTAAAAATGAATGCTGTCATGTGGGCCTCCAGACACACCCCCTGCCTGAAGCTGCTTCTCCCCCCTGCGCTTGGTTCCCCTCCCGCAGCCCGTCCGACCTGTGGGGGCTCTGGCCGGGCACAGCTCACTCGACCTGCGCGAGGCCCCCAGAGCCGGGCCATTAGACCGGGATCCCGACACATGCCTGGAGGGTCAAACCCATGGGCTTCGGGTGCCTGAAGATTATGGAATCGGCTGGGGGTTAAATCATCTGTATTTTTCTTCTGCCCTTTTTTTCTTTTTTAATTTAACGTAGCTCTACATTCTGAGGTTTGGATCTGAACTAGTTTTCTCCTCCCTATTTTGAAGGCTTTCAGATGCAGGAATTCTGCCCTGCCCACTACAGTGCCGAGGTTTCTTGCCAGGTTTTTGAGCTTGGGTTCCAACCTTTCTCCTTGGAAACAAACTGCCTGATGGGTTTGGAGCAGTGGTTTTGTATCCATGTCTACTTAAAAGTGCAAAACCAAGAATATCATGAACCCTCACACATTATTTAGCTTTTCTAGAGAATGAACCTGTGAAAAAAAGGAGAAATTCTAGTGTCTCAGTACCCATCTAAAATAACTTGACACCATATTACGCAATTTCTCTCTACGTTTTAAAAGCAGTCCTGAAGACAGATAATTCATATTGCCTAAAGGATCATAAACACATTTGCTTTATTGTTTCAGGACAGAAAAAGTGGATGAAGTCATTAAAGAGTGGGAAGGTTCTTTCTTTAAGGACAACCCTCGCTTAAGGAAAAAATCCGTCTCATTGCGCTTTGATCTCCATCTAGCAGCAACAGATGAAGGATGTTTACACACTAAAAAGAAAACTCTTCCCGACATTGAAGTCAGGCTGGTGATGCGGAGATCTTGCAGTATTCCTTCTATCAAACCTTAACCTACAGCAACTTAACCCAAAATTCATCTCTGAGAGGCTCTAGAAATAACCCGTAGACGGACTCACACAGCCTGCTATCTTGCTACAACTACAGAATCTTACCAAGTACTTTGATAAAATAAAAACATACGAGTCTTTTAAAAGAAAGGGAGAAGAGCAAGGGAGTGAAGATGCCAAGAAACCCAACTTCTACTGGTTTTATACTCTGGGTGCAGCCCTTTGATTTTCTCATTATTGTTGTTGTTTTGTAGAATTTCACCAAATATTACAAAAACTGAACTATAACTTTATACTTTGACATATTCTGCCTTTGTAAAAGAGAACTTGTTTTCTCTTTCTGGAAATGAGAAATGCGTATTTCATTCTCTCAGTTATTCCGTCCTGCATATTGATGAAATACTGCATAGAATGACTGATGAATCCTTGTAATAATTTATATCACGACTCTCATACTTCTTGAAATATATTTTAAAATAACACTTTCTAACAGCAAAAATTACATACAAAGATGCTCTTAAAATACATAAACTATTAACAAATAATTTTCTTTTTAAAGTGGCTGGTATTTTTAAATTAATTTTTTTAGGCAACAACTGAGCAAAAATGTCTTTCCCTTACACAATCGTACGCACATTTTAAAGGTGTTGTTCCAAACCAATAATATCTTAGCCACAGTGTTCCACTGACTTTGAAGCAGTCATTTCCACTGAAAATCAATCACTCCCTTACGTGCCCACACACAGCTGTACTACGACTTTCTCAGCCATAGCAAGGGAAATTATGCTCTTTAACTGTTCAAATGTAAGGAGTCCACCAACCATCTTAGTGCTGGTATTTCATTAATTTTGCTTATTATAACACCGTGAATTAAAATCTCTTGGACAAATTCCTCTTCAGACAAGTATTATAGGTAAGTTATGCTCCTGATCTAGTACACACAACGAGTCACTGGTACGCCAGGGTACAACTATTATTCCTTCAAATTACATGGACAAGATAAGGGCTACGTATTCAAAGCAGAATTCCACCTTACCCATTAAGTGTCCCCCACTACTACACAAAGTAGCTATGGGCAAATGCAAAGTACAGTAATGATCTTGCATCTGTACGCACAAAAAAACAGAAATACAAACTCAGCCATACTTCTTTATGTCATTACGAGGCAAGTTTCAAACAAAAATTGCATTAAGATAAGAGTGACTGTTGACGAGGACTTCTGAGAGGCACGGATGTCACCCTCACCGGAACTGGGACTGCAGGGGCTCAGAACCTAGAGATACCACGGGCCACATTTGCGGGATTCACAGCAGCATGTAAAAGGTGAAGTTCAGTGTCAGTACTTGCCTTCTTACTTAGGGCATGTGTTACAAAAACCAATACTACAAATTCTTTCAGTGTTCATTTATGCTTCTGTCCTTTGTTAACGGTAAGAACGATGCATTTGTATTGCCCACAGTTCTGTACCTGCTGTATGAAGCTGCCTAATTATCATTAACCTTAATACTGATCTGGTGTTGTCAATACTTGAGTACTTGGCATCCTGAATGTATTCGCCTGCTCTAGAATTTTCACTATGCAGCTTTTTTTTGTGCTTATACTCTGTACATTTTACAATACTTGAATTTAAACTAAGTTTTAATTGCTTTAAGGCACTTTAAACAGGGATACAAATTTACCAAAGTAAATGATAGTACTACAATAAAAAAGTATTAAAATGGAGCTTGCCCATGCATATTCTGTGAGTTTGACTGTGTATACCTCAAGGGAAAGAAGGAAAAATGAAAACGAAAGTTGTAGGTAAGAAAATCTGCAGCACTGCAACTAAGTGTTTTCCAAGCTCTCATCTACAATTAGGAAGCCACAAATTCCCTACGAATCTTTAACATAATGTGTAAGGTGAGTGTCCTCCTGCTACAAAAATGACTCTTTTTTTCTGGTGAATCCAGTAACCTCGACAGGATCTGAAGCTCTTTGTTCTGAGCAGCACAAGAAGGAACAGCAGACAGCATCTGGCACGCACAGTTCACCAGCTGAGAGGTAAGATAATCACCAAGCAAACACAGAACAGACATTCAGCGTTACACAGACACCTCCAGAACTGCAGGCAGGCTTCCTCACGCCGGGAGAGCTTGCACAGGCACATCAAACCTGCCTTACACAGATGCAGGTGGTGCCATCTCTGCAGTAAACAACCACGGAGTCATCTTGCTCACGGACACATTTTTGTCTCTAACTGGGGGGTGTTTGGCTCATTCTCTGACCCGTGGTACTTCTCGGTGCATTAGCTTCTCTAGTCTAACTCTAGATTTTTTTTCCCCTAATGACAGAAACCTCATCCAGCATAATACAGAACACACACCTGACTTTGCCGTGCAAGGCAACCTCCGCGTTAATTTAGGAGAGGAAAATTACCAGGTATCCACAGTGAACATTGTCTGGGATACCAAGTAACCTGAAAAAATGCTGACCTTATGCACGTGCATTATTTCACCCATGTAACAGCCCGACCTCAGGGCTTCCGAAGCCACCTCCCTGACCCCAGCAACATCCCAAGTCCACCCTGAGCTGTCCCATGATCAGAAATTTCTTCCACCACAGAAGTCGCCATTGTTCAACACCGGACTCAACACTCATGAAATACAGAGTTTCTGCTTGAAGGTTAAGCAGAAGCAACCAGCATAAACCCAGTTACACTGTTTGACAATCGTGAAACCTGCTGCTCTAAGAAAAAAAGACCAAAAAAAGACTGCAGTTTACTGGCTGGTTTTGCCAACACACTCATCGGCAGGCAGCCCACTCTCCACTCTAGTTCAGGGCTCTTTTCTTTCCACGGGACTTCCCGACACTGACTTCGTTCCTGCATTACGGATCGCTGCTCCTCCAGCCCTGGTCCAAGTGTGTGTCCCGGCCTCAGCGACGTTTTCTCCCCTTACAGCCCAGGCCTGTCTTCTCATTATTCACAAATTCCATCTCTTCAAACGTGACAAGCCTACACGTCTATTCATAAACCACTCGAACTTCCACTAGTGTCAGTGTGAGCTCCACGTGGGCACAGAAAAAAAGAAGGATTCGCAATAACATCTCACCCTGACTTTAGGGCACTTTAAAGCTGAATTGAAACAATATATAACAGGGAAGCTTGATAATATGGCAGAGAATTCTTTGCTTCTGTGGTGCTAATTAGGTTCAGACCAGCTGAGCCCCTGCCAACACCTGCAGACGTCTGACGTGAAAACAAGTCCCATTGTCTCAACCTACTTTCCGATGAATGTATGTCCTCATTACAAGGGCTATGAAACTGCTAATTAAAACAGTTGGATAAAAGCCAGCTATTTAGAGGCCCCTGGTTGGTACGAGGCAGTATAAACAATCCTATTAAATCTGTAAAACTACTTATATCACACAGCACATTAAAAAGCATACACAGGCAAATCTTTTGCTATCACAACATGGAAATCAGGCAAACAGCAAAGTAAAAAAAAACCCAAAACATAAAGCAAAGTAAGGATTACCTTGCTGGCTTTGAAAACACACATAGTGATTCAGAACTATTAGCACAGAGAGTATCAGTAAATGTACTTGAACACCATAATAAATATTTCAATAAGCTGTGCAAATTTAGAATTTATTTTAACGCTATTGACATTAAATGCACTTCATCAACAAAACCTGAACTAGAGAAGAATGCATGAAGCGGTCACAACCAGGGGGAAAAACAGGTTATTTTTTGACCTCTTAACAAGTATTTTCTCACCTTTTCTTCACAAATGTTCTGCCCAGGTGAAGCTGTAGACTAAAGAGGGGTGTATTTGGCTGGCTGGCTGAGGAGTCTTTTCAATTCTTATATTCTTTTAATTATCAAATCAAAGTCACAGACTATTGTGCTGCATGTCAACAAACTCCCAAAGACAGGACACTGCGGGCAGATGAGGGCAGAGCTCGTCTCTCTTATTTGTTCACAAAAATGTGCTTATTTAAGAAAAGAGCAAACTGGGGTAGACAAACTGTAGGCATCAAGAAGAAAAGGCTCTAACTTGCAGCAACCTGGTATCATATTCAGTTAGTTTTCCTTCTTTTTCCCTTCTACCATCCTTTTGGGTTAGGTAGGTATCATCTATCTTTTTCCATTCAAAAAAAAAAATCAAAGATATTTCTGCTATCTTGGCTTTCCTTCAGCTGCCACATTCACCAGATCTACCAAAATCCTTTATGGATGTCTAGAAATTTGTCTTATTAGCTGTATGACAGCATCTCAATGCCAAACTTTATGTTTTCATGTTTAATTCAGTCACTTTAACCATTTTCACTGTATAACAGACTTATATGCTGAATGCTGAGGTCTGCAGTTCTTCTTCTTCCTCAGACGCTCAGAGCCATAAGGTGTACTGTGTATTTGCAAGTTTTTTACCTCCGCGTGCGATGCCCTCACAAATTTCTGCAAGAACTTGCTCTAGACAATTCCATGGCTCCCAGCACACCCTGTCATTCACAGTCCTCTGAGTGTCCAAGTTGGTCTGACTCCACTCAGAACGGCCATCTACATGGCTTTATAACCCAGGGCTGTCCCCGACTGCCGTCGCACCGCTCCACAGGCCGACCGGCTGCCTCCGGGCCTCCTCCCAACGCGCCGCCATCTCCCTACGCCTCACAGGCCGAGCCC